TCTGCTTCCTTTGGGTTGGATGAGGGTGCAGCAGAACCACCTTTGGACCCACTGGAAGAGGATATACCATGAAACTTTCTGTTGTGATTCTTTGAGGAAGCTTTCCTTTTTCTTTCCCTTCCCATGTCCAGTTGCCAAGACTAGGGCAGCAACAATAGGAGTGGGTACAACAAATTTGCCTTTCAAACTACTTTCAGCAGTTCTGAGAAGGCCCTGAAGCTTGCTTAGAGTGACATCCTCATTGCTCATATGATAAGTCATTCTAAACTGATCATAACATGGAGGTAAAGAGTGTAGGATGATGTCAATATCCAACTCTTCATCGAAATTGACATTCAACTTTAGCAAGCGATCCACATATCTCTGCATCTTTTGCAAATGGGTCGTGATGGACTCCCCATCCTTCATTTTTGTTGTTATCATGGAGGCAATGATTTCATACATTTCTTGTCGGACACTCTGATGGTACCTTTCCATCAAGTCTTGGTGCATCTCGAAAGGCCATAAGTCCTCATAGGATTTTTGAAGCTCAGAAGTCATAGTGGCTAGCATGATGCACGACACCTTTGTCGCGTCCTTCTCATGAACATTATACTCAGCCAGTTGCTCAGGAGTATCAGTTCCTTCATCAATCTCCTTTAGCTCTTTGTCGAGGACATATTACTTTTCCTTGTAGCGAATGGCCATGTGAATGTTTCGAATCCAGTCATTGAAATTCGACCCATTGAAAATGACCCTCCCACATAGGTTCATGAGGGAGAAAGAGCCAAAAGCATTTGAGTTCGAAGCATTGTTTGAAGCAGACATTTGAAAAGAAAAGACAAGTTTTATTAGATAGGAATTCCTTAATATAACATCCAAATGACATATTAAGGCTAGGACCCAACACAATATTTCACAATTTGGAAGAGGGATGCCGTAATCCAATTGCAAAATATTTGAAGGTAGGAAAATGATGATTTACCAATTTCACCACCCAAAACTAAAATTTTAAAGAATTAAGTTTTATGAAATTCCTAGTTCTTTGAGATTCATTGAACTTTTCAATGACATGTTTAAATCTCGATTATGTCCTTCAACTTTGTGATTGGGATACCGAGGATCACAAACAAGGTGTGAATAACCATGCAAATTTGCTTGGCACTGTCGAGTCATTTACCACCTAATCAATGTGCCGGTAAACCACACACGTTCCATTGATCTATGACAATTCTTGATCTACCCTTTGCCACCCTTGTTAGCCCACATTAGTGTGCCGGTTAACCACACACGCTCCACTAACGACTTAGCAAGGTGCAAAGTGCAATTTCATGGAATAGCCCAATTTTCACATTTTTCGTAAAGTAACTAAGCTTGGGAATTTATGAAAAACATTTAGTTACTTTTATAATTATCATTATAGCTTTTAATGATAATTAATGTCTTATCCAACCCGTTCGGTTAACAACCCTCCACCAGTCATGGAAGCGATGGGCAAGAGTGGACACTCATTCAATCGTCATTTTATAGGCAACTAGTTTATAACCCGTGAGAACCACGGTTATAAAATTAATTAAATTTTCATATCAAAAAATCAAAATTATTAATTGATATTTTAAATAAATTATTACTTGTATAAAATTATAATCATTGATTTAAATAAATACGTGAAGTTATATCATGTTATAATATGTATTAATTTTATTTTATTTTTCAATTTAATGTTATTAATATAATATAAATAGAGTGAGAAAATTAAAATTTGAAATTTAAAATGAAATATCAATTATTAATTTAATATAATTAGAGTGGGAAAATTTAAAATTTGAAATTTGAAATGCATGATCAATTTTAATTTAATCTAATTAGAGTTAAATTTTAAAATTTAAAATTTGAAATTGATAATTAATATGTTGACAAGTGACATGATAAGCGATATATAACATTAAAATATAACATTAATAAGGAGTTCTAATTGTATGACACTTGTCAATATGAGATTAAATATATTATTTTATTAGAATAGGAAGATTCCCTTATACCCCTTATAGACCAGCTTCGTGAATGAGGCCTACTAACAATAAGACTGACTGTCTTATATATATATATATATATATATATATATATATATATATATATATATATATATATATATATATATATATATAAAGCTTTTAATATTATAATACTATAAGGGTTGAATTTTAGACTTTTAAAATTTTAGAGTTTAGAATTTAATGTTTCATAATTAAGACCTTTTAAATTCCAAAACTTGAAGGAAAATTTTGAAACTCTTCAAAATCTCTTAGATCAAATTATTGAATTTTAGACTTTTAAAATTCTAGAGTTTAGAATTTAATGTTTCATAATTAAGACTTTTCAAATTTCAAAACTTGAAGATAAATTTTGAAACTCTTCAAAATCTTTTAGATCAAATTTTAAACTAATAAAATAATCATATAATTTTATCTCTTACTAATTTGACTTAGTTCAACTCATATAGCAAGGCAATTCAAATCAAATAATACAAATAATTAGATTATCATTTAATCAAATTGTCTTTTAATTGGATGATGATATTCACTACCATATCAGAAAAATTGAATTTTATGACACAAAACAATTTGTGGTAATGATCCCAATCCAATTCGTGGCCAAAAACCTGAAAATCTGCCAACTGAAGAGACACCACGTCATGGTAACTTTGACCGCGTCGTAGTCATCAGGCAGATTCCAAAAAAACAATTTCCTTTTGCTTTGAACAACTAACCAATGCATAAATATAACAGAAAACACCATAGGCTTTGATACCACTAATGAGTTTTGAACATTATAACATCCCTATGGTGCACATACAACCCTAATGTTTTGGATCTAAGTTTTCTCAAGTTATACATGTAATTTCATTTTATCCAAGTTATACATGCAATTTCATTTTATCCAAAGCACATACCCTAGCTAGCATGCAATCGGAGATATACAACATAAAAACTAGTTAGACGAATACCTCTTAGTTGTAGCTTGTAGTTCTTGGCATTTCAAGAGCTTAGTATCTCAAGTGTGATACCTCTAATAAGTTACAAACACCAAAAGCAAATGGAGGCTTGTGAGAGAGAGGTTATGAAGCACAAAATCGGCTAGGGCTTCACCTTGGAATGCATTGGCCGATTTTAACGAGTTAGGGGTTACATTTATAGTGTGGAATTTCTAGGGTCTCTTACATTTAAACCCTAATTCACCATGACTCTTCACAATTCATAGGCCCTTTGGACTAAACCTTGATGGACTCTCATATAGGTTTAGCCCATCCCTAATCAACATAGATCATTAGCCCAAACTATAAGTATCACTGATTTACCTAATCAGTCCCTGTAAATTTAATTAGTCTCTTTTGATCACTAAATTAATTCCAAATTAATTCTTAATCAATACAAATTAAATAATATGATTTCTCAATTATATATTATTCCTATAATATATTAATAAATCACAAATAACCTCTTTCTCAAAAATCCATCCTATTAGTATCCTGGTAGATAGGATGTTATTATGCTGTTATAATCCGTTAGATCGGTTTGTCTGTCTATCGACTGATATATGACTATCTGATATATGTGCACATGTTTGATTGGTGGTTGAGGCTTATCTGCTTTGTACGAGAGCCAACAGACCTGGGCATTCCAACCCGATGGTTGTGGGTCGTGAGTATTCCATCCCGAGGATGATTGGACTCCTAGTATGTGGGCATTCCATCCCGATGGTTGTAGGTCTGGGGTCATCCATCCCGAGGATGATTGGACCTATAGTATGTTGGCATTCCAACCTAATGATTGAGGGCATAGGGTATTCCAACCTGATGGTTGATTGGACCCATAGTATGTTGTTTGTGATTATATGTATATTGTTGTGTGTATGGGTATTTTGGGGGAACTCACTAAGCTTCGAGATTACAATTGCAATTTTGGTTTCAGGTACATCAGATGATCCCGGGAAGGCGAAAGCGTGATCGTACAACTCCTCATATTTTATGATTTTTGATTTATGGGATACTCTGACATGAAAATATTTTGAAAACACTTTGTAATAATTAATGGTTTTTAATTAGTTGAAAAAGTTTTAAATTTGCTCAAATTTTATGGATGTTACAATGTTTGTGTTGCTTGAAAGTTGTAATCATCACGTTCCAAGACACCGAATATAAACATGGCATTGTAAGGAATACATATTGTGAATCTTGAAGGACGCCACATCATGCGTACATTATGATTAAAGAAATGGAAGAAGAAAGGATCAATTCAAACCCTAATTGGACAAGTTGAGCATGGAGCTGGCGTCCATGGTTTAATGATTTGATAGTTGCACATGATTTAATCGCGCATGCTAATGAATAATCACGTGGTTGACATTCGGTAGATTTCATTTGGTTGAAAAGCTTCAAACCCTCTTCTCCTGATCCGTTTTGGGCAAATCCCGATATCATCACACTCCATGTCACGTGGTTTTTTTCGGGTATTTTGGTAAATACCAATCGAGCTTCTTCGACTCGGCCTACATCAACGTAAGCAGATAGAATGTTGTTCCATGAAATAAGATCTCTTATTGGCATCCTATCGAAAATCTTTCTTGCATCATCTGTTTTACCACATTTCCAGTATAATGTAATCAACGCATTGTTGACACTATATAGAAAGTGGTGAGATGGGTTTATTACAGTTTTGATCATGTATGCGTGTATTTGTTTTCCATGGAGAAACAATTTAGCATTGGCACAAGCACTAAGGATACTTGTATAAGTGAATGCATCAAACTTGATTCCTAAAAGATTCATTTTTTTGACATTTCTAATGATTAAGAAACAAACCCTTTATGCATGTATCCAAAAATCATTGCATTCCATGCCACTACTTGCTTTTCATTGTTTTATACCATCAAAGACTTGGCTTGCACTGTGTAAATCGTCATTTCTTATATACCCTGTGATTATTGTAGTCCATGATAACTCGTCTTTATGTGGCATTTCATCAAACAGTTTTTGTGCAGCATCCATTAATAAAAGAAGGTGTTACGAAAGGTGAAGAAGAACACCTGATATAAAGAGAAATAAGAGAGTTTACAACCGATGTGACAAACCCGGTTCCAGACTTCACAATTTCAGAGTGTAGCTGCTGACAATGTAATTCGTGCTCAGCTATAAGAGACAACCCTGATAACATGCTTGTGTAGGTGTAGTTATCCGGCTGAAAATTGTTTATTTTCATGTCACGAAAGAGCTCAATAGCAGCATTACAATCGCCATTATGAGCACAGCCTGTTATCATGACATTGTAGCAAACTGTATCTCGAGTATTAAAAGGAGCGTTGTTAAATATTTCTCTTGCCAACTTTAGATTTCTAAAAACGAAATACGCAGTAATAAAGGTTGTTCCAGCAACAATACCTATTCTCCAAGATTCGACGCCTGCTTTCTTAATGCATTCATTTCGTCAGTTGTCAATCTACCGTAATACTTTCATTTTTAAATGACAAAACTGTGCAAATAGTCCCTGTGGTTAGTTGAAAATTGCCACTTTGGTCCAAAAAGGTTTGGACTAGCACCACGAGTCCAAACTTTTTAATTTGTTGTGATTTTTGTCCAAAATTTTTGAAATATTTTATAATGATGGATTTGCCCTTTATTATTCTATTTTACTTTTTTCTTTTATTATAGAAATTAAAAATAAAATACCTCTCTCTCTCTCTCTCTCTCTCTCTCTCTCGACAGACTTTTTTTTGGCCTGTGTTCATTTCTCAGCGGAAAAACATAAACTCTCCATCCCTGTCACATGGTTGCTCCGATCAACTCTACCATACAACAAATCACCACCGTAAACCATTGTTGTCTACTCCCCTTCTCCAACTAGGATGCATCAAACTCCCACCTCGTCTCATCCTCACCTCATCTACTTCAATACAAATCCAAAAAAATTACACCCTTCTCTTTCAATTTACTTTATCTTGCCGGAAAAAATGCTCAATGGGATGTAATTGGTTCGCAACACCGCTGGAAAACATACTCGATGGGATGCATCTGGATCTAAAAACTCCGGCACCAAAAACCTAATCATCAGGCAGTGAAAACCTAACCCTAAAAGCTTAAGGCGGCGCGGCGAAGCTGGAAACTCAAGCGAAAAACTTCAAAGTTCAGCGAGATCGTTATTTCGTTCATTAGGTTGATTTGGACTCCGGTGCTGCTAGAAACTTGAGACCCAGATGGAGGCTACCACCATCGTCTTCATCATTTGGGACCACATTCACAGCACCGACGTTTATCTATTAACCCGTGCTACAATCTTTGATCTTGTTGCCTCCGTCCAGATCTGTAAACGTTATTGTCTTCACAATATCTCCGATTGTAACAACGTAAAATTTCCAATTTAAATTTTCATTTTTAAATCACAAAAATGTATATCATATCATAATATCAAACCATAACAACAGTGTTTTCAAACAATTCCCAAGATCTCTATAACATAAACTCCATCGGTGTGGGTGTGTACTAGTCAAGCCTTCGCCTTCCCACGTTCCTCGCTGGTACCTGAGACATCAAACACAACAACTGTAAGCATAAATGCTCAGTGAGTTCCCCAAAATACCACATATCACAAATATGCCACTCAAGGCTAAACCCGACCCTCCGGTCAAGATGTCTTAGCAGGACCCTCCAGTCCCGCAGCTCGTCGGACCCTCCGGTCTAGTCATAGCTCGTTGGACCCTCCAGCCCGGTCAATATCGTTGGGCCCTCCATCCCGGTCTCTATAATCATGCAGCATACAAATAACACATAGCACAAAATCTCTAAGACAACACATAAACTCATACATAGCACATGAGACCCTCTAGTCAACTTGAAATACCTACTCAAGGTAATGTATAGTGAGAAGACTCACCTCGCGTATCTCGGAATCTCGTAAATCTCGTAACTACTAATGCTCGATCTCTCGAGCAATCATCCTCCTACAACACAAGCATAACTCTACTTAATAAGTTAATACCACCTTAACCCTGGCTGACTAACACTACAAGGTCAAACTAGTCAACCCTGGTCAACGGTCAACAGTTGACCCGACTCGCCGAGTCTGGCGTGGACTCGCCGAGTCCCTACGGGAACCCGATCCCTCTGAATCTCTTCCCACTCACCGAGTCACTCACCCAACTCGGTTACTCAGTCCCTGGTTCATAATCGCTGAACATCCCGCACCAACTCGCCGAGTCTGGGATTGGACTCGGCGAGTGCATTCCATGCACAACCTCAAACGACCTTCTAAGGTCAGATCCATTCTAGTAACTCATAGATCCAATCCCCTTAAGCTTATTAACCACGTAAAGTCCAAGTCTTGGTGCACATTAAGCATCAAATAGCTCATTAATGGTGTTTTAGCCTCAAATACATTGATCCCAACCCAAAACCTCCATGGATGCACATAAAGCTTGGGCAAGGAGGTGCTCTGGACCTCTATGGGTCCAAATCCAGAGCTATAACTCGCCAAGGGACCATGAGGATGCTAGATCTAGCCATAAATGGGTTCAAAAACCCTAAATCTATATAAACATCACATTAACAAGGAAGGATTCGAATGGTACCTCAGATGTGATGTCCTGGACCTTAGTTCTTCAAGAATCCACCCCTCTCTTGCTTCCTCTTGGCTAGATTTCCTCTTCCTTTGCTAGACAACAACTCCAAGAATCAATAATGGCTCCTTCCCTCACTTGAATCACTCAAATGCTCTAGGGTTTCACTCTGGGGACTGATGAGAGCAAATGACGGCCATAAGGCCCTTTAAATAGGTCTCAAACCCGAGAAATTAGGGTTTCATTAAACAGCGCAGACTCGCCGAGGCCACCAAGGCGACTCGCCGAGTCCGGGCATCAATCCGGGTGAAAACCCGCGTCTCAACTCGGCGAGTCTACGCACCAACTCGCTGAGTCCTTCCACAAAACTCAAAATAAAAGATTAATTAATATATCTGGAATCCCGGATGTTACAATTCTCCCCTACTCGAATCCGACTTCGCCCTCGAGGTCTCATTCTTGAAATAACTATGGATGCTACTCCTGCATCTCCCGCTCCGGTTCCCAGGTCAACTCGGATCCCTTCCGATGCTGCCACTGAACCTGTACCAGAGGCACTTCCCTGTTCCTCAGAACCTTGATCTTCCGATCCACAATCGCAACTGGTCTCTCCGCGTAGTTCAGGCTCGTATCCACCTGAATATCTTCTAACGACACCACTGCCGACTCGTCGGCAATACATTTCCTCAACTGCGAGACATGAAAGGTATCATGGATCTGCCCCAACTTAGCAGGTAGATCCAACCGGTAGGCTACCCTGCCTACCCTAGCAATTACCCTGAAGGGTCCAATATACCAGGGTCCCAACTTGCCCCTCTTCCTGAATCGTATAACTCCTTTCCAAGGAGAGACCTTTAGGAGCACAAGGTCACCAACCTAAAACACGAGCTCGGACCGACGCCTGTCCGCATAACTCTTCTGGCGACTCTGCGCGGTCAACAACCTCTGCCTAACCTGTTGAATCTGCTCGGTCGTCTGGAGTACAATTTCTGTGCAACCCATCACCCGCTGCCCCACCTCTCCCCATCAGATGGGGGTGCGACACCTCCGCCCATACAACAGCTCAAAGGGTGGCATACCAATGCTTGAATGATGGTTGTTGTTGTACGAAAACTCTGCTAAAGGTAGATAGGTGTCCTAGCTCCCTCCAAAATCCAAGACACATGCACGGAGCATATCCTCAAGCGTCTGAATCGTCCGCTCGCTCTGTCCGTCTGTCTGCGGGTGGTATGCGGTACTGAAATGCAGTCTCGTACCCAGCTCCTCATGAAACTTCTTCCAAAACCTGGAAGTAAAACGCACATCCCGATCTGAAACAATTGACATCGGAACCCCATGCCGCGATACCACTTCTCTCACATATAATTCTGCCAACTTTTCCGCAGAAGAGCTCTCGCTGATGGCTAGAAAATGAGCGCTCTTCGTCAGCCTATCCACGATCACCCAAATCGCATCAACTCCCCTCGCAGTCCGTGGCAATTTGGTGATAAAGTCCATGGTAATCTGTTCCCACTTCCATTCGGGAATCTCCAGCGGTTGCAATTTGCCATGCGGATGCTGGTGCTCGGCCTTAACCTGACGATAAGTCAGGCACCTCTCGACGAACCATGCAACATTCCTCTTCATAAAAGGCCACCAATACTCTTTCCTTAGGTCCACATACATCTTAGTAGCCCCGGGATGAATCGAGAATTTTGATCGATGCGCTTCCTCCATCAAGATAGTACGCGCACCGCCCACAAATGGTACCCAAATCCGACCCTGAAAAGTCATAAGTCCCCAACCATCCGTAACGAATTCCGATACCTGACCAACCACCCGCTCCCTTTTCTGAATTTCTGATCTCGCGACCTCAGCCTGTGCCCCTCGGATGGTGTCCAAAATCGGGGTCATCACCGTCAACCTCAAACAAATATCTCGCATCAGGGCACCCTCTACCCTACGACTCAGGGCGTTGGCTACCACATTATCCTTGCCCGGGTGGTACAGGATCTCGCAATCATAATCCTTTACCACATCCAACCATCTCTTCTGACGCATATTCAGATTTGGCTGATCCATCAAATACTTCAAGCTCTTGTGGTCCGTGTATATCATACACCGAACCCCATACAGATAGTGATGCCAGATCTTGAGGGCGAAAACCACAGGCCCCAATTCCAGATCATGGGTGGGATATTTCGTCTCATTAGGCTTCAACTGCCTCGACGCATACGCGATCACATGCCCTCTCTGCATCAACACCGCTCCCAACCCCGATATCGATGCATCACAGTACACCACGAAATCCTCCATCCCTTCCGGTAATGCAAGCACGGGAGCTTTGCACAATCTCTGGCGAAGGGTCTCAAATGAGGTCTGCTGCTCCGGACCCCATGAGAAAGTAAGACCCTTCCGGGTTAACTTGGTAAGTGGCACAACAATTTTGGAGAAGTCTCTGATAAATCTCCGATAGTAGCCTGCCAGCCCTAAGAAGCTCCGGATCTCCGCAGGTGACCTCGGCACCTCCCAACTCATCACAACCTCGATCTTGGCTGGGTCAAATCCCATTCTGGTTAACGAGATGCCCTAAGAACTGGACCTCCCGTAACCAAAAATCACACTTGGAGAATTTGGCGAATAGCCTCTCCGATCTTAGAACTCCAAGGAGCTCTCTCAAATGCTCCTCGTGCTGCTCTCTGGTCCTCGAATACACCAAGATGTCATCAAT